CGTGAAGAGACACATAGTACATTCAACAAAATCTTATCATGGAACCAAGCATGTGTGGTCTTCTTCCATGTGGAAGTCATCCCATCCTTCATCTATGATGTTAAAATAACCTTATCAATTAAAACTCAGAATTGCATAGTTATTGAATATGCTAAGTTCTCATGTATTCATCTTGGGTTTTGCCAAATAAGCTCATTCTTAGCAGTTGCTTATCATTGGCTCTAATGTATAAAGCCAAAAAGTGTTTACCATCTGAGCACTATATACAAAATAGTCTTAAGTCATATGTGTGTCATATAGCAGAAGAGTAAAAAATGATATTTCATTTGTGCTGAATGATTTTGAGAATGTGGGATGCACGCTAGCTGATTTTAACAAGTTTTTTCAAAATCTCCTAGGTAACCTTTAGTGCTTTTGTATTCATGTTACTATTTTCTGTTCATGAAGGATGGAATTAAAAATATTTTTCTCTTTCATACATTACTGAAAACAGGGTTAATAATAAAGTCCTTTAAAAGCTGTAGAAGGGACACCTAGTACTTAATTTTGCTATTAATTGTATTGGCTGTGTACTTTGAGAATATAATTGTTTAATGCACAAGATTTTGAAAATGACAGAGCAAGACACAGGTGATTTCTTCAAAATCTTGCTTTTCTCTGATGCCATTTAAAGGCACTACATGTTCAAAATATTTCAAGTAAACTTAATTCAAATGCACTGGTATAGAAAAATAACCTCTGGCTGCCCTAGATATGTATACGTTTTTCTTCCTTCATTGTGGTCCTTTTTTGGGATTTTCTACACATACTCAAAGAGAAAGATAATTCAGCAGTACTTTAATTGGGAAAAATAAGTAGTTTCAGTTTGAGTGGTCACTTATACCTTTTTTTGGTGCTTTGCACAGATTATCTTTTCCTCCTTCCATTTTCTTAGGGGACAGAAAATAAGTGATTTATAGTTCTTTGAGGAATAAAAGCTAAGGGTTGAATATTGAACAGGATCTTGGGAAATAGAGAGTTAAATAGCCCAACTGTTCTCTATTCAATCAGCATTCCTCATAACTGTTATCCTTGATAAGTGAGGTGGGATAAATTGTACATAGCACCATACTAAAGCAGTCTTGAAAGTTCAATTAAAATTTCAGTTACCTGATTTAATATTGCTCTGCTAAAACTAGGATTATAGAATTCTGATTTAATTGCTGCTTAGTTTCAGTCAGTGATAGCGCATATATTTCAAATATGCTTCAGTATTTGTGAGTCAGTGCATGTGTACCACTGGGAGATCTCTTAACTGTATGAAATTGGACTCATAAATTAGGCAAAAATGGAGCTGTTCTTCCAGTGTTTGCATCCATGTAGTTTTTTCTGTTGTGTCTATTGGATTGTAAGTCTGCAGTCTAGAATTTTCTTATCTTTTGGTGATGTACAGAGCACAGGAAATGTTAGCTGCTTTATTAAAATTGCACATTGATATCTAAGATCAGAAGTGGGCTGCAGAATCCATTCTCCATGTTATGTCTGAACCTAGTCTGTTATGGTTAAGCATGTCATGTGCTTTAGCAGAAGCCAAAAACAAACCACATAATGGCTATATGTTCTTGCTCCACTGAACGGCAGTATGGGCAAGTTTTTGGAGTTTGTCAGCAAGTTCTCAAATGTTGTTGATTTTCTGACTTGAGGTGAAGTTTGTCTTGGTTCGTTGGGACATTTTGACATAGTAATTCAATTTCTGACTCATATCTTAGGATTTCCAACCTGTAAGCATAAATGAGGAAACTCTCATTTTATTTTAAAAGGAGGAGGCAAAATCACAATTAAAATGTGCAACAAGTATAATTTTATCTATACATTTGTCTTTTTAAACACTTTCAGTTCATACTTAGTCTTTTAACTAAACGCACTATTAAAGAATGCCTCACATTAATTTCTATCTTAGGGTGCTGTTTGATGTTCTATCAAGCCTAGGTTTTGTATTCCTCCTCCAAAAGTGGATAACTAACATGCCTTTTTTCATATTTATTCTGATTCTACATTTCTGCAGTAGAGATATATACCCAAATTAATTATGTTAACTCTCTGAATCTTACATTGCTGCTATTTTTCCCATCACATATACTTATAAAAATAAAGGCTGCCTATTAAAAATAGTTGGAACCTTTGAAAGTCCTTAGGAAAAATGAGACCTAAAAATAACAGTTGATTTTCTCCTACTTTGTACTTCCCTCCTGTTCTTTTTCCTCATTTTGCTGGATGACTCTTGATCATTGTCACATCATGTTACTTTGCAAAACAGAGCCAGTATTCTAGCCAGTTACATCTGTAGTAAATCATTTTTCCAAGCACAGATGTTTATGTCTGTTGATTGAAATGAATACATCTGAATCTCTTGCACACACCAGTCTACTCTGAAGCATCCACCATATTATATTCTATATAAGTGGTCACATGTTTCATTATAACTTCTTGTTTGTTTGTGTATATCTGTAAAGGGCTGTTCCATACAGATATTTCACTGTAACAGTACCTGATTGATACTGATATCTTAAATTCTGTCTTCTCTAAATGAAACAGTTTAATTCCATTTAATAAGCAGCGCTATCTACTACATATTATCAATGCATTGATTTCTAGAATATTGTCTTGGCAATTTTAAGTGTTAGTAAGTGTTAGAAGTAAATTCCAAGTAATTGATAATTTGATTTCATGTTGATATAGTTTTAGAAATTTAAAATACCAATGTTTACTTAATTACTTATTACCTTCACAAACGTATTCCCTATGTATTGTAATTTAAACTGAAAATTATTTTATACTTCTTCCAGACAATTATATCAATTACCAAAAAAATGGCAAGTAATAACTTTTATTTATTCAGCATCAAATTATTTCTAAGATGATGCAAAGAGTTGAAGGTGACTGAACTATATAACAAAGTTTGGACTTGGTGAACAAAGTACTACAAAATTTTGGCATTGATTTGGGGTCTATAAGCTTATGTTGGTTTGGGAATGTGCCATAGGTCCAGCAGGAGTACACTGGGTAGTCCATTTTGGGGAGAGAGCAAAACCTGAGTTTGGTGGAACAAAATGTTACAAACTTTTTGTAAAACCTTTGGCACAGGTTTTAGAAGAATGTAGCAACATTAGTGTTTTTAAGTATTTCATCTGGACCCCACGCTGAAATGCCTGTATTACCTTTAGGTACAAAAGATACAAAATTCAAGCTAAATATCACAAAACAGGGATAAAATGTTGGAATAGGTTTTGACTGGAAATCACATTTGGGGATTCATAGTTAACACGGCTCTGAAATGTGATCCTGGATATTACAAAGAGTTGTGTTACATATGAATACCAAAGTTGATTTCCAGTCAAAATCTATTCCAGTGTTTTGAACCAGTTTTGTATCAAGCCTAAATCTAATACCCCCCAACTAAAGATAATACAGGCATTTAAGTTTTCATAATGCAAGTCTGATACTTCTGAGAATGCAAAGCATCAGACTAGCATTATGAAAACTTAAATTTTTTATAATACTGTCAGATCAGAGTTTCAGTTTTAATTTGAAAATAATGCTTCACAAACTGAACCTTGTAACATAAACACTTATGAGTACGTCATGAATTTTCCAAGATAGTTAAGCATCTCATACTAATATGAGTCATGCATGGGCAGCTCTCGAACTGCATTTGGCCTAGCCAGCACCTTAAATTACACCATTGAAATTTAGTAGTGAAATTGACTCTTTTTAATTTTGTTTTTGCTACAAAATAAGTATGGAAAGCAGGCATTGAGGAGAAAAATGGCCCAGTTTCCACACTTAATCTTTCCCAGCCCCTCAAACACTCCAGAATCTCACAAATATTTGGCCATGCAATACATGTAGCAGATGAATTCTTCTTCCTTTAGTGAATATAACCATTTATATTTTTAAAATATATTTAATAATTTTATGAATGCTTTGCAAATCAGCTTGGACATCATTTAAAAAAATTAATAGTTTAGTGCACGGGAGCTGGATTCAGTCAGTGTAAATCGTGTTATACTTTCTCAAATCCAAAGACAATTTGTGATATTTGATTTCTGTTACATGCTAAAAGAACATGTTGATGAAATATGTGGGGAATTCTTAGGAGGCATTTTTAGCCCAGAAGATCAGTTCTGCAGAAAGGAGTATTCCCATTAGACAATAATATAAACATTATTTTTAAAATTACTTGTTCACTCTTCATTCCCTCCTCTCCTATTCCAGGTTTTGTTTTGAAAATCTATAATGCAGTTTACAATAAACACATACTGGCATAACATTAAAACAGAACATGGTACTATAACATTAATGCTTCCTGCTTAATGTATAACCAACCAATATTTAAACAAAAAAGAGCCAGATATCAGAGACTCACCCCCCAATACCTCATTGCTAGTGCTAAAACCAAGATTAAAATCATGTCAGATATTTGGTGTCATTCAGAAGACTGGAATTGCATAACTAGTTACATGTATATATAGTATTTAGAAATATATTCTACATATATTTATTGTCCTGAAAACCTTAAGCTAGTTTTTGGAAAAACTTTTTTTCTGTTTTTGGTGACACTATAGAACAAGTATTACATGTAATTTGTTACTAAGTCAAGGTGCAGTGTCTTGGTACTTAAGGGAATACAAGTAGATAAATATAATCAGATACTTTTTAATTTTTATTTTCTTAGTTTATATGCTGTCCCAGTTACAACTGACTGTGAGCATCTAACAAATCTGAGTACAGTAATGGGATTAAAAACATGAGTAACAAAAAAATCATTATAATGAAATGCACAAAGGAACAGCCCAAATGTAATCCTCCTGCAGCAGGGGACAAATTCAAAATAATCTTTTCTGTAGGGTTCTTTGATGGGATATTTATGGTTATACTTCTCAGATTTATTTGTGTGGGTTCTTTTTGTGAATATTTTCATGCTTCATTGTTGATTTTATTTGTTTTATTTCACTTTGTAGGGATAGATTTCAAGATCAAAACAGTTGAATTGCAAGGAAAGAAGATAAAGCTACAGATATGGTAAGTGACTAACCAAACATTTTGACATTTAAAATACTTTCTGTGATTTTTATTGATCATGCAAAAAAGGGGGTTATTAACTACATATGCTTTGTCCAGTAAATATCTACATATTCATGATATATCATATCATGTCATATCATATCAACTTGTGAGGTGGCACTATAACATTGAATCCTCTCTCCTAGTCTTTTAATAATAACATTGGTGCTTTTTAAATTGTGGAATGTTTTTAATATTGTTTATTTTATGGTCTGATTTTTATTGTATGCCACTTAGAGTTATATTTTGTGAGATGGGTGGCTACATAAATATGATGAAATAAATAAATAATCCCTGATTGGTTCCATTAATCTCTTTAAAAAGCGAAAAATTGCCATAGTAGTTAATAGGAAAAATGGTGGCAACTGTAGGGATCAAGAAAAGCTGAATATTCTCAAAAGTCCTCTCCCCCACAAATGTATATAAAAGGACATGAGTAGCGCCATAACCTGTATATTCTGCAGACAGCCATTCTAGAGAAATTGCACTCAGTGCAAATTGAGTGTTAATTGTAATTTAGTTAGATTTAATAGCAAACAGTATTACAGTTCCAAGTGCTATTCTTTTAATGGAATTACAGATCCTCCTCTTTTAGCAATGCTAATTGGGACCAGAAACTCCGTTGTTAAGCAACACAGTTGTAAGTTGAAAAACCATGTGGCTGCCCTACTTAGTGATGGTAATTCCGGCAGTCCTGGTTGCCATCATTAAATGAGAACCATGTGGGTCGTTAAGTGAGGACCTCACATGACTGCGACTTCTGACTTCCTGCCAGCTTCCTCTTTGACTTTGCTTGTGGGAAGCCAGCAGGGAAGGTCACAAATCGTACATCAAAGTATGAGGTCCAGTCGTAACTACTTGTTCAGTGCTGTCTTAAGTTCAAATGGTCACTGAATGAGTAGTTGTTAAATGAAGACCTAGCTCCCAAGCCAGCCAGGCACAACACCGTGAATTCCTCAGGGAGGTGCCAGCCTCATCCTCCTGAACTTCCACGCTCCTCCGGTGAGCTAAGAACCACTTATCTCCCTGAGCCTGGCCTTCATAATTCCATTCCATCACAACCACCTGTACATCTGTGAGAAAAATAATGCCCCTTTTATCTTCTATCTGTCACCCGAAGCTGCTCCAGAAGGTTGGGGACTCCTTTTCGATTTGGGCAGAAACAAATTTGGGGAAATAAAACATGAACAAAAGTTTTCTTAAGTGATGTCAGCTTTAGCTCCGGGTGTTAAATTAGCCAAAGCCCTTTGTAATAAATCTGTATCAGACTCGTGAAAGAAGGGCTGAGATTCTACTATTTATGGATCAGATTGAAAGCATAGATTTCCAATTTTTAGGAATCTAACATAGTGAGTCAATACAGTATAAATGTTCAGTGATAAATCCTCTGAGTCATATGCAGATTTGTAACAGAGTACTCAGGTGTTTTGGTACAAAGCTTAACTAATAATCTACGACCTCATTCATGTAAGTGTGATCAAGATTCCATACCCAAGATTTCATTATCATATGAGCACTCCTTCTGGGCCAAGTTATATTATATGTCCAGACACCCTACCCCACCCCAATATTTGCACTCTGATTAATCCATTTTCATACAGTAAATTACAGTTTATAATTTATGAGAATACTTTTTTTAAGGCATAAAAAAGGAAGTGTTATTAGCATTTCTCCTCTGTACAGTACTTGATTCTCCATCAGCATCTTATATAGGTAATAATGTGAAAAGTTGTGTTTGAATATCTTAATTTGTAAGACCTCCATAGAATACCATAGCTACAGTTTTGCCTTTAAGGTAGTAAATCATGTAGTACAAGTAGAAGGGAAATCCTATAATTGTATATGTGGTATAGCTTAAGTCTTGTTCTCATGTATTACTATATGATATGAATGTATCTTAAATCCTTGAATAGGGAAACTGGATATGCAAATAATAACACCACTGTGGATGTTGGGGGCTTAAGAGAGGGTATAACTCACCCCCATTTAAACAACTAAAATTAGCTGGGTGGGGCTCATCAGTTTTAGGACCAAAGCAGATACGGAGTGCGAATTTAATATGTTTCTCCTTTGTAGTCCTGAGGATGGCCTTAGTTCAGAAGCTCTTTGTACTAGATGGAAAGTTGCAAGAAATTGGTGAACATGTTCATACTTTGCCATAAACCATAGTGTGGTTTGTTGGTATCAGCTTAACATATTTTCATTTTAGTAGGTGTAAATGCTAATGGTTAATTGCTTAGAGTGAACTCTTTCTCCAGCTATAGAGGAAGTATGTTTATGATATGTGCAAAGGGGAAAAAGCTCCCACTACATGCTTATTCCAGCTGATGATGCTTATTCACTGTTGTATCTTACTTCTCTTTAAATTTTTAAAGATATAAAACAAGAAGGTATGTGATGGCCAGAATGTTTGACAAAGTCACTTGCTTTCAGGAAGTATACATTATTTGTAGAGAGGTCTGTTAGTTAAGTTTACAGGTAGTCCTCACTTAACAGCAGTAATTGGGACCAGCATTTGGCTTAGTTTTTGTTAGACCTGTATCCCATCTTTCTTCCTGAAGCTTAAGGCACTTCCTCCTCCAAATTGTCTTCATAATTTTGCCCCCACAACAATCTACCTCTGAAAAATGGTTGAGTTGAGATTGGCCCAAACTCATTGGGTGAGTTTCCATGGCACTGTATTGGTTCTCTTGAGAATAGTAGCTGTAAGCCCAAACAGTTGTGCTTATAAAAGAAACATCAGATTTGACAGGTGGAACAAAAATGTTAAAAGGATAAAGCACTGACATTTATTTTTAAATACCCATAAAGACATATTCCCAGTAACTCTGGAAGACTCATTATTGTAAATTAATCCATCTTGCTCTCTCTTCATGAAAATTAGTGGCCAGCGTAATTTGTGATATCTAAATTAGCTAGAGACAGTAAGCTAACATAATGTCACTACATTACTTTTTAAAAAGGGAAAAAATTCCTTGGAACTAAAGAAAGCTTTTCTAGCTGAAGATAGTTCCCTTCAGTGCCAGAAAGACTACTACGTATTTCATAGCATGGCGATGATGTTATTGTGATTATACAATCTTCCTGCTATTAATATAAAAGCATTGCATTTATAAAATTACCTCCCCTCTAAAATCATTATTCTCCTGGGTACCAAGAGTACCAAGAGATACTCAAACTTAAGTTTGTCTGCTATTATGCCTTTATATTCTTATCTTTGTTGTTTTATCCGTAAAGTTCCAACATTCCATAATTACTGTATTGGTTTACTATTGGTAAACCAATTACTATTGGTTTTCTTAAAATTTCAAGGACTTGAGTCACTAAGTTATCTGTAAGACATGCATCTTGTTTAGTGAATTTTTGAGTGTCTCATGTTTTCCCCTTTTTTTTTTTTCAGCCAGTTGTTTTGGTGGAGAGTTATGTTCTTTTATCTATACATAGCAGTAAAGGTCCATTTTATCTCTCTGTTCTAAAAGAAGTCAAGGTATTTTTGATAAGTGGAAAATGAAATGTACAGTCCACTTCCACAGATGCATGGAATATCCTAATAAGTGGATGATATGCATGTGTGAATTTAAAAAGTTGCATACTATACAGTGGTACCTCTACTTACGAATACCCCTACTTACGAAATTTTCGAGATACGACCAGCTCCGGCCCCAAAATTTACTTCTACTTACAAACTTGCCTGTACTTACGAACCAGATCCGTGGCCATTTTCCCTGCTGCCACGCAGTCG